GGTGGTCAAACCGAAAGGAAGAAACGGAATTCGCCCGGCTGAGGATAGTATGATGACAGGAAAGCTGCCAATAAAATATGCCTTTACAGATTTATTTTCGCGTATCACTCATATTTTGTCATAAAAAATGATTAACTCACATAGATGTTCAAAAGAGAGAAATAAAATAACCTTTGGAGTGCGCCAGTGGTTTGGCGCCTTTATTTTGCAGATTCAACTTCCCATTTTCCGTTCTTTACTTTTGTAGGCACCTCTTTGTATAGATCAAAGGCAATCTTGAAGGTATATATATATATATATATATACATATATATATACATATATATATAATCATTTATTTATTTATTTACACACTCAGAGAGTTTGATCAACAAAAAGGACGTAGCAAAAGCAAAAATGACATCACCGCGGTTTTTTCGTCGAAAGGCAAAACGAGCGAGGGCATCTCTGCAGTCTGAACATGAAAACTCTGGGTCTGACAACGGGAACTATCCCATCTCCAATCATGATCCCCATAACCCTGACGGTAACTTGGCAGGTGAGGACAAAAACAGTTTTTGTGAGGATGAGAAGGGAGTGGTGGTGGTGAATGTTGACGAACCCTCGTTTGACTTAGAGAAAAACGAGGCGGAGGCTCCTCTATCCTCCGGAATCCCCCCGTCCTCCTCGCTTTCTGCGAGCCGTGGTGTGGATTTGGTAGCATCGGAGCTTCGTAAAGTGTTATCCAAGGTACAAGGGGTTTGGGAGCGGATGGGTGTCCCCGAGGAGGAGCGTGTTAGGCGATGGCAGAATTTTTTAGACTCCACTCTTTTCCCTCCCATTGCCGCGTATTTGGCGATCACCGAAGCGGAGGAAAAGGATTATATGATTGAGAATGAAAGGCTCGCGCGGGAGGTCTTCGATCTTTGCCGCCGCCTTCAGGAGAGGCCGCGGGATGCGCAGCTGAGTGAACTTCTCGGAATCCACAGCGGTGATGGCCCCCTGAAGACGCCAAACGAGGGGAAGGCCGACTTAACGCCGAAAGCCGACGGTTCGACCGCCCTTTGCGGTGATGCGGTGGACGGCGATCGGCCCGGTGCGGGGGCGCCGTTGAACATCAGGGCTGCGGAGGCCGCAGGTGGGGTGGGTGGGTTTTTTGACGACATTTTAGAGCCACTTCGGCATGTGGCGATCCGTCAGACGCTGCGGGAGGAGCTCGAGCGGCTCGGGCACCTCGAGGACTTCCGCCGCCGCTTTTTAGGTCTTCTTCGCCAGCTCCGCGAGCTTCTTCGGCGCCCGATTTCGCAGCAGGCGGTGTTATGGGATGAGTATCGACAGCGCTATGAAGCGAGCGCCTTTGCGCATCCTTCCTTTTCGACCTCCTCCGCGGTGCGGGGCCGTACCGCGAGCGATGACCTTTCCTTCGCGGAGATGCGGTCATGCCGGAGCACGGACGCCCCCCCGACGGCCCTTGAGGCGGGCGAGGAGGCGGAAAAGGCCCCGCCGCGTGAGAAAACGAGCCCGCAGGGGCCCGAAGCCGCCCCCGCGCGAGGCCTCGACGCCGAGGAGGAGCTTCATCTGCTCCTGACCGCGCCGTTTGTGCGGAATTCGATGCTGACGGATTCCCGGGCCACGAGTATGTGGCTTCGGCCGAGCGCCGCCCCCCTTCCTCCTCGGGTTTCACCCGGGCAAACGCCGGCTTTGGCGAATGAAATATCGACGGCGGGCGAACTGGCGGGGCCGCGAAGCCCTCCCCGGCCCTCCTTCCCCGCCACCGACGAAAGCGAGGGGGAGGGGCGGAAAAGACTGCGCGGGGAGGCCGCCCGGGCGATGCCGTCGGATTGTTTGAGCGAAACCGAGGCGGACCTCTCCGAGGCGCGGATTATTCGCGACGCCGACGACCTCCTCGAGGCCGTCGCGGCGCAAAACGACGTCATCGGGCGCGAGGCCGCGACGGAGCTCGCGGGGGTTCGCGAACTCCACGCGATGCTCGCGAAAGCCCCGAACCCGCCCGCCGCCCTCGACGAGACAGACGAAAAGGAAACGGAAACGAAAAACGAGGAGGAGGACGAAGAAAGGGAAAAGGAAGGGGAAAAGGCGGCCGTGTGGGGCCTGGGCCTCGCGTTCGAGCCCGCCGAGGAGGCGGAGGCGCGGGCGGAGTTGGCGGGCCTCGAGGCGCGCCTCCGCGGCCTCGCGGCGGATCC